TTATGTCAGCTAAATCAGAAAATTGTTTTTCGCTTCGCCGATTTGCACACTACCATTAGGCAACCAAAATGCAAATAAAAATCTTGAAAATAATTAAATACTCGCTTATTGATTTTGTTACACGGAGTCCAGTAGTAATAAATTATAGAGTTTTCTTTTAATTAATAAGATTTATTGTTGTTGGAAGAATAAATTACGTTCAGCATTTTTCTTTGTATTAGTTTTATTTATTGGTTGCACACATATAATGTACTAATTTAATCTTTAAGAATATGTAATTATCCTGCGTTTTGCTAATTTTCCAATTAATATGATAAACTAGAACAATGACTTCAGATAATTGAATATTAAATATATTAATAATTATCATCATAGCTGGCTATTTTGTGCAAAACGTAGGTAATTTAAATCGTATAAAAATGGCCAAAAATATTCAAAATTTAGTTTTATCTAATAATAATAATAACTTTGTTATACAAATTAACAAAATGAAATTACGTCACAAAGGAAAATATAGTTTACATTTACATAATATATAAATTTTTACATTTACACAAAATGATCGTTAAGACAATTGACTCCATTTTAATTAGCATATTATGCTTAGTCTCGCGTTTTGAATAATTTTAAGCTTTCAATTGTCCTTAATCTTATAGGTAGCTTATTAAAATACGAAAAACAAGCACCTTAAAATTTTGATGTATTTTAAAGTTTAATATATTTTGTTCTAGTGGGCCGATTTTGATGATTTTTTTAAGCAATATCTAGTTAAATTATTTGACTTTCCAGTGTCTCTTAATTAAAAATGAAAGTTTCCATCTGTCAATTATTCGAGGGAAAACAAAATGGTGATTGATTTTAGTAAAAGTTTGAAACACCCTGAGGAATATATTAAGACAGCAAGGAATTTAAAAATTGTTTTGCCTTTTAGGTATATCCTTTCTCGCGTAGTTTGTTTTTTAGGTCATCTAAATAGCTTTATTTTTGTTAGAGATATTCGCTTTTGAAGAAGACTAAAGCCCACGGCCGCGGCTACACAGAAAGCGTTTTTTGCGTTTTTAGCGTGAAGCGTCTTTAGCGACTAAAACAAAATAACAGGATTATATAGGAGTGGCCACACCAAAAGCGTGTAGCGTTCGGCGTGTCTCGCAAAAAACGCAAATGAAAACAAATCAGTTTGTTTTCTGTAGCGTCTTTAGCGTTTTCTAAGATGATATCCCCGTCATAGGCGAACGTTATATTTAATAATACAATAAAAATAAATTAAATAGTATGCATTTTTTTTTCATTTTAGGCTATTATCTAAAAATATTTTTATAAAGAACATCTACTGTTTAGAGGATTCTAGGAATTATTCTCTAGGAAGATTCTATTAAATTCAAAAATTTGAAGGAAATGTTTGAAAAAGTGTAGTTTGAAATGTTGAAAAAGTAATAAATTAAAGGAATATTTTCTTACGCGTAAAAAACAGATTTTTATGCGTAAAAAGTGTTTTTTTCTGCGTAAAAAAGGTTTTTTTAACAGAAACAAATAGTTTTTGAAAAAATAATTTTTTACGTGCAACAAAAATTTTTTTTACACGTAAAAAATATTTTTTTTGGGTAAAAGAGTTTTTTACTAGAAACAATAAGTTTTTGACGCGTAAAAATTAGATTTTTACGTGTAACAAATAGTTTTTTACACGTAAAGAATATTTTCTTTCCGTAACTAAAGGTTTTTTACAATAAACAATAACTTTTTGACGCGTAAAAAATAATTCTTTACGTGTAACAAATAGTTTTTTACACGTAAAAAATATTTTTTTTGTGTAAAAGAGTTTTTTACTAGAAACAATAAGTTTTTGACGCGTAAAAATTAGATTTTTACGTGTAACAAATAGTTTTTTACACGTAAAGAATATTTTTTTTGGCGTAACAAAATGTTTTTTACCATAAACAATAAGTTTTTGACGCGTAAAAAATATTTTTTTACGTGTAACAAATAGTTTTTTACACGTAAAAAATATTTTTATTTTTAGTAAAAAAGTTTTTTTACCAGAAACAATAAGTTTCTGACGCGTAAAAATTAGTTTTTTACGTGTAACAAATAGTTTTTTACACGTAAAAAATATTTTTTTTGTGGAAGAAACAATAAGTTTTTGACGCGTAAAATTTTACGTGTAACAAATAGATTTTTATACGTAACAAATAGTTTTATACGCGTAAAAAATAGTTTTCTACCAGTAACAAATAATTTTATACGCGTAAAAAATAGTTTTTTACGTGTAACAGCTTCATTCGTGTAAAATAATAAAAATAGTTTTTTACGTGTAACAAATGTTTTTTTACACGTAATAATTTGACTCACTTTTATAAAATTTGTATTAAAATATCAATATTTTTGATAAACACGTGGACTGCTCACAAATACCCGTCGCGTCATTACGTATTTCTAAGCCATTAACACGTTCCGTTACAACGAGCTCGTGTGTCAGGGGCGTCTCGCTGGCTCGTATGCGAGCTCGTATGTCACGGCTTTGAATTTTTACTCCCAGCGCGCGTAAAGAAGTTTCACTCCAAAATGTTTCATAAATCATGTCCTAAAATTGCATTAGCAAATAGAAATATTTACTATTCTATTATATAATTATAATTATGTATTATATTATATTATAATTATAACAAGTACTAACCACAACACTACAACATAAAAAAAACTATACACATATAAACTAAAATTCAAAAAATAAATGGCAAATAATAATAATTATTATTTTTACACACACCGCTGGCACTAGCAGTAGATTGTGTTTGTCTCCGAATATATGCCTCGGCCCGTCCACAATTCAATCCCAGCATCTTTTATCTTCGTTTCTTCAACGCTAACGGCGCCGATCTCGCCTATCTCTTTTTCACAGGATTGATTGTTGGACGGGCCGGGAATCCACGAGCTTGCGACGTTACTAATTGACATCTTGATAGAAACTGAAGACCTGCCGCGTCTTTTGCGTGTTTTTAATGGACACAAATCAAAAAAAGCGCTTAAAACGGTAAAATCGCAAAAAGCGCTTGAGACACAAAAAACGCAAAACGTTAAAAACACTTTCTGTGTGGCCGTGGGCTAATATTTTTTCTTCAGCTGGCAAACTGAGGTTTCTTAGCGATACAACTACAATAAGTCGATCGTCTCGATTCAAAGTTCTCATACGAAGGTTTCTGGATGTCTAGCATATGAACTTGTCTCGAGCCAACAGATAATAATAATATGATTTTTCAATAACAGTGACATTACCTAAATAATAAATACTATTTCAGATGGCTTTTGACTGGGACCAGAAGCAAAGGCATGGTTTAGGAGTAAAAATTAACGAAAAAATATTAGTGGCTTGGTTTGATTTGGCGAATATCTCCAACAAAAATAAAGCTATTCAGATGAACCAAAAAATAAACGATCGACAAAAGATGCACCTAGATGATAAAGTGATTTTAAAATTCCTTGCTTTCTTAACATATTCCACAGGATATTTCAAATTTTTAAATAGCCCCTAATTCCAAATTGTATCGTGTTAACCAAATATTTGAAGTCATCGTCCAGAACAAAATAGAATAGAATGTTATACTGAACAAATTTTATAATAAAGAATCAATATTTGTATTATATTGAATATAAAGGATTAATAATATATTGGTGAGTTGAAAGATGGAACTACCAGAGAGTATTATATGCCAGCAGACTAAGTACTGTAATGAAAAGTTGAATGTTTGGCCAGAATTATAAGCGGAAGTGCGGTATATAAATAGATGGATTCTAAAACATTCTTATGTTAAGGTTATGAGCTCCTGAGAGTACTATAGTATCAGCAAAGGAAAACTGAAAATCCTTAGACCTCAAGCTTCTCCAGCTTCTGCACATTACAGAAAGTCCAATTTATTTAAGAAAAAGCTCCAGCTTTTCGAGCTTTTTCTTTATCGAGTAGGTTAGACCCAAAATTTTTCTCTAGACAAACCCAAACTAGACCAGACAAACCCAGTTTATCACGCACTCAGCGATGCGCAACTGCACAATAGTATCGCCATAGTATAAGGAAAATAGTAGCTTTACTCCTTGTCAAATCCTTTGTTCTTTTTCTGCCACTTTATATGACCTTGTTCTCGCGTCCCGTGACCACTACGCCCCGTGACCTTACGCCATAGTTTCACAGAGATGTATTTAGGAGAATGAGTTCACAATAAAATAAAATAAAAAAATTGATCATCGAGTAAAAATTTGCTTGAAAACAGAGTTTATTCACATTTGGTGTAAGTAAAAATTCTTCTGTATCTGAAAATCTTCTGATGGGAAGAAATGCGGAAAAAATATATAATGACATACATATTTTTATATTATTATCTATTTCAAAGGTTTTCTGCAAACTTTTTTTTTTTAATTTACAAGTTTAATTTTAACATTAATGTGTTTGTTTTGTAGTAATATATTGGTTAGGTGATTTTCATTGGATAACTAATACATTGAACAACACATTGTACAAAATAATAAAATGACATATTTAAAATACAATAATAGGTAATAAACATTACAGAAATTTCAAAAGAGAAAAGAAGCAAGAACAATGAGAAATAGTATCACTACTTTCTCACGTAATAAAAGAATACTTTTTTAGTTATTGTTACCGAGTCCCGAAGGTACCGAAAGAACCGGGAATTAATAATTTCGATACCCAGTTCTTTGATATCTCAAAAGAACCGGGAATTTCTGGTTCTAAACCATATTATGAAGAAACTGGTTACCATATTATCAAGAAATTATATTTTTTAACTAAAAACTAAAAAAAATGACCAGGTACAATGTACAGGTATACATTCAGTAGTTTTTACGTGAAAGAGTATCAAAGATCTATACATACAAATAAACTTTCGCGTTTGTAATATTAGTAAGGCTATATTTAGTGACATAATACAATTACTAATGGGGAATTAAGTCACAGTAATAAGGTAGTCGCTAATCGATTTTCATTGTTCCAGGTTTGGTTCCAGAACAGAAGGGCTAAGTGGAGGAAAAAGGAGCACACGAAAAAAGGACCGGGTCGGCCTGCCCACAATGCCCATCCTCAGTCCTGCTCTGGCGAACCCATTCCTCCGGCAGAATTGAGGGCGAGAGAAAGAGCGAGACGTCGGAAAAAGTTGCAGAAAGCTTTAGAACGACAAGCAAGAAAACTCAGAGCAAAAGGTAATTACTTATGGATTTTATATTCTACTAGCCGGTATCCGCGTCTTCGTTCGCGTCGAATTAATCATTTGTAATGGTGATGATAAAGCCAAGCATGAATTTCCATTAACATACAAACTGGATAAAGATTTTATATACTGGTATAGATTTGAGGGGCGTTTTCACCCTCTTGGAATTTGAGGTCTTCTCTTTAATCGGAAGACAAGTTAATCGGAACATTCAATGAAAAATAATGTTGAAAAGAAAACATGTATCGTTGGAGATTAAAAAGCGAGAGAGGCCATTTAAAAAAATAATTCGCAAAATGGATATTTTCGTGTATCCCAAGGGTGGCTTCAAAAGATTAAAAAACGTTTCTATAAATAATCTTTACGAGAATACCTTTGTGGTGTTTTCATTTTTTGGAAAAAATCCAGGGTATTTTTTCAAGAAATGAACCCCCTCAATATTCGTTTGACCCCCTCAATTCAGTTGACTGTCATTGGTCAATAACTAAACATGGAGAACTAATATTAGTTTTTGATATCAATATAGTTTAAGCATCGCACGATATGATTCCAAATCATCATATTATTTAATTAAAAAAACTTCGTAGGCAAGCTGCATTCCAAAAAAACAGAAAAAGCAGAGAGATAAAAGCTTTTCTAACTTCACTCAAACAATTAATGTAAAAATTGCTTTATACAAAACAGCATGTTTCTTTTTTTATTTGATAGTTTTCTTCCAACATTTATTAACTACATGTTTTAAATATATTTTTTCTTATGCTTAAATATTAATAATAGATAGTCACAAATCCAAAAAAAAAAATATTGTGTTTTGTGTGAAATTATTGATGAATATCGATATACATATATTGAGTAAAGTCCCGCCTATTCCATCAGCTCCTAACTGACGGGGTTCTATTATTGACGAGTCTGTTTTAATTTTTATTATTATATGGGTTAACTATAAAAAATAAAGCTTAATACAACGTGGTTGACTTTATGTCTCTCTCTCTGAAAAGTTTTGAAATTACTTGGCCAATATCATTAAATGGAATAAACAAAAATGCTCTTGAAATGGATACAGTAGTATGGGATGTTATGTTTAAGACGTAAATATAGTTCGAGATGAATCAAAGTTAGTCGAAAACGATTAATTTTAAGAATAATATTTATCTTCAAAGAAATCACATTCTAAACTGTTTTTCTTTTTTTTTTCAGGTATCACGGTGGATCTAGTGGCTCTTAAACGCGAATACCTGGCCCAGAGAGGCACCGACGCTATGGACAGTGATAGTGACATAGACGTGGTCGGCGATTCGGGAGCCGAAACCGAAAATTTCGGTGACAATTCGATGTTCGCGTCCTCGATCACAGATAGCAGCAGTAACGGCGTCGATCTTACGTCGAGCACGAACGAACTCCCCGACGAAAAAATCCGACAACGACCGAATCCCTTCAGTATAGATTCCCTACTGAATAACAACACTTGAACGCGCCCCGACCCTGTTTTAGTGTCGGGCAGTGTATATGGATCCTAGTGGTTTTTGTTCCGGGCATTGTATTAATTTTCGTTTTACGTTAATAGACCTATGTTGCAGGATTTATGGTGGCTTTAATATTCATTGGCTGTTACTGAAGAATCTCCAAAACAAATTCTTAAAATTTAACAGTTCTGTTTTTAGTAACTGATCAAAAAATCATTACAAAATATCAGGGGCTGACTATCTCACTTCTATTTAACAATCTAACATAAGGCAAGATCACACGGTCCAAGTGACTTGGACCATATACACTTTAATGTTGCAATATAACTGTACTAATAATAATGCTGTACGCGTCTTACTTGTACGCTGTTTTATAATATTGAATGTCTTATCTAAGCCGAGTTGGAAGGCTTTTTAACATCAAAGTAGGGTAGCTCCTAACATACTTTGATCCGACGAAGTATACCAACTCGACCTGGATAAAACAGTTGATATCATACAAACAGCGTAAAATTGAGACGCGCGCATATAAGTATATTTATATTGTCGCATCTGGTTAACTTGATCCAAATTACACTTTGGATCGTGTCAACCGGCTTATAAATACAAACTTTCCAGCGGCGAATCAACAGTTCTCTCTAAAACTCTAAACAAAATCAATGGTTATTGGCAAAATTTACGTTTATTGCACGGACAAAATTTGTAATGCTAATCTCATGGAGTGCTGTATCTTCTAGTAAGAAGAAAAAAGAGAAAATTTTCCTTCTTCTAAAGACCTTCTTCTAAAGAAGGAAAATTTAATCGGACTAGCCCTCAACAACTTGTAACCGTATAGCTGTTGAGTCCTAGGCCGATTATTTTTTTCTTCTTTTTGTATATTTCCCTCATTATTTCAATTTCTGTTCATCTTCTAGTACATTTAATCTAAATAATAGAAAAATCAATTAAACTGACTTTGACCTTTTATATTTAAACGACACCCTTCATAGTTTATGGTTGGTATTAACTGATTCTTTTTACACTGTAACGGATTCTTGTACAGTATAGAAAACAAACCCAGCTTGTTCTTTTTCTGGGAAAAATTAAATAACTTTCTGTTATAGGGTTGAACCCCACCGCTGCCACCAATTTTATGTAACAATTTTTTTTGTAATAATAAGTAGGCATCGAAATTCAATGTTCACATGTCCAAGTGCTGCCACGCTAAAATAATTAAATATATTTTATGCTATAATAATAATTAAGATCAAGGTCACGCTATTATCAAAGACATTTTTATTACAACGCCGACATTATCAGTTGTTGTATCAAACGTTAGAAAATGCCTCAATTTTTTTTTATAATTTTTATAGACCAGTTGACTATGGCAGATAATGACGATCAAGTGCAAAACCAAGACTCCCTTCTTCTTGGTCTTGCCACAAGATTCGACTTAAATGGTTCGAAAAAGAGGGGCGTATTAACTAGTAGAGGAATATTAGGTATGTTTCGATAAAGTAAAAATTGATTATAATCGATATATCAAACCGCTAAACCATAGGTTTTAAGAGAATTAAAAAAAAATATTTTTTGGGCTGGCAATTGCACAATTGCAACCCATATCTTATACGAGACAAGTCAAGACAATAGAGGATTTTAAAACTTCCTTTTTGCTTATATGTATCAAATTATCATTGTGAAATTGATGATATTTTGATATTATTGAATCAAAATATTAAAAAAGTAGCTTCTTATAATTCCGAAAAATTACCTAAACAATAAGCAGCCAAAATATAGTAAATTGTCTAGTAAATTTTGTCTAGAAATTAAAAAGTATTATGAAAATCACTTGCCATATGTTATCAACACCATTCCTGCAATATGGGCCTATTTAACTGACTGTAAAAACTATGAAACGTTAATACTTAAATTATACGATATAAATTTTTGTTCCTTTTTTCTACTTAACACGCATCGCATACTGTATAGCACTAATATATTTGGTTTTAATATGTTTATATTATAATTATTTACTGTTAAATATCCTTTCTTATACGGGTAGAGGTTACTATATAAATATTATTGTATAAAATTTTAAAAATTTTATTTTTCTTACAAAATTGTTAGGTCCAGTTAAATACTCTCGTGCAATATTATTTTTACAAAAGTGAATTATTTAATTTATTTGAAATTCGTGGTGTTACAATAATATTCCAACATATTTTCACAAATTTCATACAAACAATTTGGGACACCGTATTATCTGTTGAAATTAAACAATTAACTTGAGCACATATTTACCAGCTTTCTTCACACCAAAAACATTTTTTTAAATTAAGCCTCACTGTGAATAAATAAATTTAATATCTTTTTAGCTAGAAACTTCCGTACTATTTATATTTTTCTACAATTCTTTTTGTGATAATTCTTTACATTATATTCTATAAAAAACGTTGTAAATATTTTGTAAACATATCTTTAGATTTAGGCGAATCCCTTTTACCTATTTAACTTATTTTCTTGTATATATATATATCGACAAAATGTAAATGACCCTGTGTATAAAATGCCGCCCATAAGACAAAACGATGCTGTATTTAATAAAAAAATATAAGTACCTTTAAATTGTAATAACTAGTTTTAATTTTTCGAATACAGAGTGTTGTGGCTAAAACCATTCCATTACGGATTGTTACGTTTATTTATGTATATTTTAATGAAACAAAAAAGAAAAATGTTAGCTAGAGCACCCTGTATAGTGTACCTAATGCAATATGATGGTTTAGAAATTGACAAGTTCTTGAATTTTACAATAACAAAATACTTTTCCTCAAAAATGTAAATACGGCAGTCATACATCATTTGTATTTTTAGGTTTTCAAATATTGTAAACAATTATTTTATTCAATTTCTGAAAAAAGACATACAACGAAATAAGATGAATGTTATGACATTTTAGAAGAAGTAATACATATGATTTTTGTCGCTGCAAATATCAAAGTAAAATAGATTGAAAACAAATACACTATTTATTCCATAAATTTGTTGTTTTATTCTTGCAACCTTCTCCTATTTTAACATACCACAGCTAAAAAGAGGCCAGGTCTGAATGTTAATGTACAATAGCTATTTTAACTGCATATTAGGCTATACCGGGCAAATTCCAATTTAGGTAACTTTTATTGAAATTCAAAAATTGTTCTTTATTTTTAGAAAATGTTAAATATATCAAAAACCTTTCATTTTAGTCAGATATTTCTCTAACGAAACTCATCTTTATTTTTCTCCTAGAATCCAAAAATCAATTAATATATAGGGTGTTCCATTACAAAAAAGACACAACTATGATATGTAGTTTTTTTGTCCCATCCATTCCGTAGCTACCGCTTCACAAATCGTGATGATTCTTTTTTAAATGAAAGGTATATATTTGCAGATTGGTTATGAAGCATTTTTGTATCGTTTAATCTCTATCTGTTTTTTTGTAAAACGAATAAATATTAAAAAACACCTGATAAATACCTACCTATTAATTAGCCTGTATGTATTAGCGTTGAATTAAGAAATAAGAAGATACGCAAACTTATGAGCGATTTCGTGGCTCAAAACCTGTCCGAGATGTAGCTGGCGATACCGACACCTGTAAGAGATTTAGTTTAGCTCTGTGCCGCTGCGCGCTGATAGTTGTTTACAGCGCAGCGGATAAAGAATAATGTACCGTAGATCTGCTTTTAGTCGACAGAGTGGGTGGTTGTCGGAGTCAGTGTTGCCAGAACTACGGATTTTGCAGTACAGTACGTTAATAATACGGATTTTCTATCATTAAATAATTTAATATAATATTATATTATTAAACAAAGAATGGCGTTAGAGTTTGCTTGGAAATGAAGATCGCTGTTATTTCCTATGTAAAATATTATGGTAAATGTCCATAGTTCATCATTTCCAAGCCAACTAAAAGACTTTTTTCAATCATACGCAATATTCAATACCTAGTAATGTAGTAACAGAATTTTTATTTTTCTTGTTTATTGAAGTTCAAGAAAAACGCGGATTTTTCATCCAAATATATTTTCGTCAAACGTATTACAGATATTACACATTTTAATTTGGCAACATTGTCGCTTTCAGTTTCACACGTCTTCGATATGCCTTCAGTAGCCGAATTAGAGAAAATGAGTATTTTATGAGTTGGCCGCAGAACGAATAGAGACTCCACCGTACAGCACTTGAGACGTAAGGGGAAATCAAATCAGCTTTGTCAACAATTTGTCCATTAAGTTGCGTATCTCCCCAATTCTTTCAATCGACGGTTAATACCTAGCTAGTGAGAGTAACATTTTACTAATATTATTACTAATATTACTAATACTAATATTACTCTCACTAGCGACTGCCTACAATTACTAGTAAAAGACAACAGATTTCTTCAAAATACGATATTCACTAGTCCAACGCGTAATTATCAGAATTCCGATTTCTACTCTGCATATTAACTGAATAAATGGACGTAAAGATATTTATTATTGATATATCGTGGTCCCCGATTCCTTATTTGTTGAAAAATTATGGCGTGCAGTTTAGATTTCCCAAGACGAGCTGCTGGATTTGTGTGAGCAAGTAGTAACAACGGATTAGAGACGCTAAATCAAAACGAAGGTGAAGGAGCAGATGATTTTACTAAAACACTACCAACAGTCACTCTTAATACCAAGACCGTGCACTATAGCCTCCATGAACTGAATTATAATCGTTCCCTATATTAATTTTAATAGTTTCCATTAGAGGTGTGTAGTTCGTGAACGAACTAGTTCCAGTGAACTAGGTATTCCGATCCCGGAATGAAAGGAACTAGTTCCGACGGCGACGGATCTGTCAGCGCGATCGTAGTCTGATGCTAGGCAGGAGTGGGGAGTGCCAGCCCTATGTCACCGGATCCGGATCTAGGGAAACTAAATAAAAGACTAGTTTACGTACGGATCGGCCAGTGCCATCGTAGCCCGATGTTAGGCGGGAGTGGAGAATACCAGCCGTATGTTACCTGTCCCGGACCGAAAGGACTGAGGGGAACTAGAGGAAATAATTAAAAAACTAGTTTACGGAAAGCTATTCAGTCGGCAGATCCGAGATATAATACAAGGCTACGACGCCAGATTCGGCCTTGTCTATTGCCACAGCCGGCGTAATTACCACAGAAAATTGTCGTAAATACTGTTTTTAGTTTGTTCTTTGAATATTTTATGGGAATGTTTCACTTTGAGTCCCTAAAATTAAGAAATATCTTATAAAACGAAGTAGATATTCTGAATTTTTAGACAAAAACAAAAGGCTTGAAGTGAGGAAAAAAGTAATTTTTCGTATTATTTGCTCCAATTGATTTGTGATATAGTCTCTGACTCTGATTTGAGTTTCTTCTTTAATTTTTTGACTGCAATAAAACTTACCTATATGTTTGTAACATACGCAGTTACACGTCTCGTTATATTTCGTACATTAAAAAAATTATACAGATCATACTGTGAATAGTTCTGACTGACAACAAAATCCATTAGCAAGCAACGGGGATGTCAAAGTTAGTCGGGAACTATTGTGAACTAAAGACCTTGTTCAAGGAACTATTTCTCTGGAGGCACTAGAACTAAGGAACTAGAATTTTCATCTCTAGTTCCCATTTAAGTATTATTTAATGTTATTGCAGTGATTTTAGATTACGATCCAAACAAATGTCAAATACTAGTCTTTATTAGTCTTAATAAAAATAATAAAGCAAATTGTGTTTTTTAATAAAACCAAGGCATTTATAGTCAAAATAAAATTTTTGAAAGATCTCACGGGAGATGATCCTCGCGTAGTTTATGGATGCCCCCTTAAGTATAAAATTCTATCTATTAGGAGTAAATACTTTTACCGGATATTCTCTGTCGTCCTCGATTCCATCTAGCTCGATTTTATATGATTAACAATGATTAGATTATAACTTTACAAATTGTATCGGCAAATTAGTGTTCTTCTTTTAAATTTTCCAATTTCTAGTCCATTTCCAAAACGTCAAAAGATCTATAAATCAAATTCTAATCGAGCTTTATTGGTGCAGGTGAACAACTTAATCTAACCCCTTGTTCTGGAATAACAGTCCGGACCTGGGCGTACATATAATTCTATTTTAAAGCGAGGTGAATAGTAAATTAATCTTAATTTAATCTCGGCGCTTTTATAGGCAGAATTATGGCTTGTTAATTATACCTTACAATTATTTATTATTTTAACGGCAAGCGCAAGAGAATTATAACAAAAATCTTCGGTAGGTAGGCCTTTTTAACTAACTTTTGCCGGCCGGACATGCGAGGTTGCCGTGATTAATGGCTGGAACGTTGACCTGTAATAATTCAGACGTCGATATCGCGTAATTATCTTTGCCAAGTCCGACGCTGGACGATGGAATTCAATATTCGTACGTATGAAGCAAATTAATGTATTATTATTTTTGAAAACTAATATGAAATGAACTTAGATAAGTTTTCCGATATTCGTTCGATAGTCAAACATCCTTAAGAGTGATCAACTCAGTAACTATCAATACGAAATTGGTTAAAGAATGCGTAGAGAAGCTGAACAAATGAGGCAAATATAATAAAGTCCTTCTACTCTCGGTGCTAGTCCTCCAGGGGATAGAAGGCAATAAAAAAGCAAACGATCTAGCTAGAAAAGGAGCGAATACTCCCACTAACTGGACCAAAATTGTTCTGCTTCCCAAGTGGGAACCAACTCAAAGTGGAACTCAAGGACTTGGCAGCCTCTAACAGTAACCTGAAATGCAAATCCTCCAATGGTCTAAGACACTCTAAGAAATTTCTCAGAACTTACGACTAAGAAAACTCAAAGATTTTCCTTCTTAAGTAAAAACAATCTTCAGATTGTCATGGGGTTTTAATATGACACTGTCTCCTCAACGCACACATCAGTAGATTGAACCTAAGAAACAACAGCAAATGCAGATTCTTAATGAGGAAAATGGGGAAACACCAGAACACCTTATCACTGAGCGCGCCGAGACGACAACCATTCGTGTCTTATACTTTGGTACGGAGATGGAGAACTAACCTCTGTAAAACCGTCTTAGATACTGGCTTTTATCAAAGCTCTGAAACTGTATGTTCATGTATAACTCAAGAAAGGAGGATACAATAGATCTGTAAGATCGCGGTGATTATCACTCCTCCCATACCATTCTACATTCTAGATAAGTTTTAGAGTGTATGAGTTATAGGTATATTTACGTAAGGGTTTTAGTTAAAGTCCAAAAAATTATCGATAATAATAAAAATCATTTTCTTTTGTACTCTTATTTGGACATAGTTTTCTATATGATGTTAGTATTTGAAATGGATGTTTTTTGAAATGGGTCATTTTGTTCTATTTATGTGGGACCTCTTCAGGAGAGAATAAAATCAAAAACACAGCCAGTAATCTAATTTGCAAATAATGTTATCAAAAGCAAAATTAAATAACTAACTCAATACTCAGTGTTAAAAGTCATTTCAATAAGTGTTTATAACAATCTATATGTGTTTATAATATCAGAAATATTTTAATTTCTATTGGTCAGACGACTTCACATTGGTTATAACGATCTACACATCAAACCCATCCCGAAAAGAGCATCAGTTGCTTTCCATCCCAGCAATATCAATAACCATTATGTTATGTTATTTCTAAATAACT